TTCCTTCTCAGGATTGCTTTGGCTATTCGGGGTCTTTTCTGGTTCCATATGAATTTTAGAACTAGTTTCCCTAGTTCATTGAAGAATGCTGTTGGTATTTTCATAGGGATTGCATTGAATCTGTAGATTGCTTTAGGCAGGATGGCCATTTTGACAATATTAATTCTTCCTATCCAAGAGCATGGGATGTGTTTCCATGTATTGGTATCTTTAATTTCTCTCATGAGTGTCTTGTAGTTTTCAGGGTATAGGTCTTTCACTTAATTGGTTAGATTTATTCCTAGTTATTTTATTCTCTTTGATGCAATTGTCAATGGAATTGATTTCCTGATTTCCCTTTCTGCTAGTTCATCGTTGATGTATAGGAATGCAACAGATTTCTGTGTATTAATTTTGTATCCTGCAACTTTGCTGAATTCAGGTATTAGTTCTAGTAGTATTGGAGTGGATTCTTTCGGGTTTTCTGTGTACAGTATCATGTCATCTGCAAACAGGGACAGTTTGACTTCTTCCTTGCCAATCTGGATGCCTTTTATTTCTTTGTGTTTGATTGCCGTAGCTAGGACCTCCAGTACTATGTTGAATAAAAATGGGCAGAGTGGCCATCCTTGTCTTGTTCTTGATCTTAAAGGAAAAGCTGTGGGTTTGTCATATATGGCCTTTGTTATGTTGAGGTACTTACCCTCTATACCCATTTTGTTGAGCGTTTTTAATCATGAATGGATGTTGAATTTTGTCATGCTTTTTCAGGGTCTATGGAGATGATGGTGTGGTTTTTGTCCTTTTTATTTATGTGGTGGATGATGTTGATGGATTTTCGAATGTTGTACCATCCTTGCATCCCTGGGATGAATCCCACTTGATCATGATGGATGATCTTTTCAAAAAACTTCTGCTTTTGCCATAATTTCTTTAAGTATTTTCCTTCCCTTCAGGGACCACTAGTTTCCTTAGTGTCTCACACACTCAGAGGTTTTTTTTAAGTCTGTGTTTTCATTTTGGATAGTTTCTACTACTGTATCTTTAAGTTAAATCTTCCTTGGGGTCGGATTGCTGCTTGTTCTATGAAGTGTATTTTTCATCTATGGAAGTTTGATTTGGGTCATTTTTATTTTTGCTTTTTTAAAAGTCTTTTCTCATCTTGTTCATGTTTTCCTTTACATTATTGAGCATGTAGAATGTATTTAAAATAACAGTTTTGAGTTCCTACTTTTATTATCTATATCATTTCTGGGTCTTTATTGATTACTTTCTTCTCACTGTGGGTTTTCAAATCCTCTTTGTTTGCCAGATTATTTTTCATTTACTTAATTTATTAGGTGTTTTGATTTTGATTTTTTGTTTTCTTGAGAGATTTTCATCAAACTTGTTGACCAGTAGTACAATGTGCTCAGGAGGAGTTGGTAGCAAAGATTTGGAACCTGCTGAAAAGAACTGAGTTTTTTGTTATATTTAAATCTCTAAAACATGTTCTAAGACTCCGGTATAGTGAGTTTCCAGCTGTCAGTTGATCTCTGGCCTTTCTCTGTGTTTAAAGAAGTTGTCCCCTCTGCTTTAATCAACTTTCTTGTTGGAGACTATCTTTGTTGTTTGATAGCACAAACAGGTACAAATTTAGTAGGTACAGAAATTAAAATGCCTAGTGAATTTAACTCAATATTTTATTGAGTAAGCTACTTTTCAATTATTTATATTGTTTCATCCATATTGCTCATATTATGCATCTATTTTCATAAATTTAGTATAGCCAAACAAGAAGAAAGTCTGGGTGTGGAAAACTAATGAGGGAGGGGGGGAGAGAGAGAGAGAGAGAGAGAGAGAGAGAGAGAGAGTGTGTGTGTGTGTGTGTGTGTGTGTGTGTTTGTGTTCAGCCTTTGGGGAGGGAGAGTCTCAGTAATTGTATGGTAGGAAAAGCCTTTTCTGCAGCTTCTTCTATTCACTCATACTTGTAGCTTTTTTACTGTGTGCACTCCCAATTCTAATGCTTCTGATATGTTAGTATTTGGTAGTAAAATTGCTTTTCCTACTGTTCTTTTCTCCATTTTACCACAGCTAACAGCATTCTCAGCTCTTGTTTGAGTTGTAATGATCCTTAATTTAAGTTCTGCTGTGCTTTGGGAGCATCCTCATAAAAGACAGATGTTCCTACTTACCTGAATATTGCCTTTGGAATATAGATGAAAACTGATGATGGAGCAAGGTTAATGTGTAGGATTCCTAAGTAATGTTAGCCCTGTCTTGGAACCTGCCTCTTGGGCACAACAGTGTCATAAAAAGGGGTATATTCTTATTTACCTTTATTTACCAATTCAAAATATTGTAATCGTGTCTTGCCATTCTCCAAAGATGACTGCTGAGTTTTTTGTTTATCATTGAGAAATCCTTGATTTAAACATTTGAAATTTTCAGTCCATTGTATGTAGTTACTGTCTTTGTTGCTTGAATTCCCTTCTTTCATTCAGCCAGTGGGATTTTATTCAGGTTGGCACTAGTATGCTTTTGGTATTTTTGTAAATTATTCTGAAACATGTCAAATTTATAGAAAAGTTGAAAAAATAGTACAAAAATTCTCCTGTACTTCCCTCCATGGGTTCCCCATATTTGCTTTATAATTGCTTTAGGCATGAGCGTTAGTAGATGTGACCCTAAGTAATACAGCTTTGTTGCTTTCAGGCATGAAATGGCCCCAGGCTCACCTTTATACTTGCCCCCTGCCCTGACTTAGAATTATTTCTCAGTGGAGTGTTGGTTGGTTCCTTTTAGTGGGAAATGGATTTTCAGGTGCAGTCTCATTGCTACTGAGTTGGTCGTCATTTCTAGACTTTTTCAGTAAACACAACTATGAAATGTTTTAAAGATGTCAGAACTTCTCAAAAATTAATATTCTGGGAAACTGCTTTCAAGGGGAAACCCCCCCCTTTTTAAGTAAGTAATTTTGCAGAATGTGAGGTTTTTCAGGAATGCATATATTGCATTGTAACAAAAACTTTGTTCTCTTCCATCTGATAATAAAATCAAAGCTAGGATGTGACTTTCTGAGTTTGTTGCAGTATACCTCTTGCCAGCAAATAAACAAGCATTTAACAGGTATCTGAATGAGTAAAGATTAAATTTGATAATGTATTACTTTTAAGACCTAATCATATTGTATGTTTAATAAATAGTGGCTCTTTTATGGCTTTATTTTTTATTTTATTTTTTTATTTTGGTATCATTAATCTACAATTACATGAAGAACATTGTTTACTAGGCTCCCCCCTTCTTCACAGTCACTGTCCATCAGCGTAGTAAGATGCTGTAAAATCACTACTTGTCTTCTCTGTGTTGTAGAGCCCACCCCGTACCCCCTCCACATTTGGCTTTATTTTTATTTTGGTTTATTTGCTTCCCAGTTTAAAAGAGCCTCCATTTTTACTTTTTTTTCCCCTTAATTTTTTATTACAGAATGGAAGAAGATGCTCCTGCTCCTTCTACCTCTGCAGATAAAGCAGAGAGGTAAGACTCTACCATGGTGCAGTTTGATTTATATCTGGAACATAAACTGAGAGCTGTATAACAAATAAGACTGAATTTTAAGGTACTTGTCTATAATTTAAAGTATGGAGTTCTAATGTCTTCAGGCTTTTTGTGTCTGATAGAAATGTTAGAATGAAAGTTCTGTAGTTCTGCTCCTTACTCGACTAGACTATGTACCTGTCAACTGCTAACCTTTCTTTTGATAGGTATATCCTGATTTACATCTATTTTGTAAGGTTGGATTTTCAGTTTTGTTATTCTTGTTTAAAAGTTGTAAATTTTATATTGAGTCTACATCTGCTTTTATGTAACTTCCCCATCTTGATATGAGTATGATTGTTAACCAGTATTCAAAAGATAGATGCCTGGGTTTTGCATTCCTATAGGTTTTATTAAGCTTGAGATAGAATTCAGGTTTGTGTGCGTCGGATGTGCTTCCTAATAATTAAGCTTACTTAGGCTGAGAATCACTGTTGTAAATTGTTTAGTCCTGCAGAATATCTAACTGCACATCTGTTTTTGAAGAGTCTTTTGTTTTGTTTTGTTTTAACTGTTTTTCATGTTTTGATCTTAATAACTTTAGTTTTTTGAAGCTGTGTCTTCTAGAAATATTGCCTAGTAATTTGAGCCACTCTGGTTTTTGGGTAGAAGGATATTGCTCAGGATTGGTCCGAAATGCACATTCACATAACCTTTTTAAAGGGTTACTCTTAGAATATACTACAGTGTATGACATGTAATGTTAAATTTCTGGACTTAAATATAAGATGTAAATGTAGCTGGGCTACTTGACCCCACAACACAGTGCTGATATGTAATTATCATTATATTATAGGCATTTATGACTCTTGTGCGCATGATGCTCTCATTCTGAGATAAATGTGAAGGATGATTGGAAAAAGTATGATTTAGTCTCATTATAATTTCGTAAAAAGTGACCTGAAGTGGAAATTTTATACTGCCTGGCAGCTATAGCACATTTCCATGGTCAACTTACTTTCCCATTCAGCTGAACAACTTTTTCTTGACATTTTCTTAAACATTCAACACTGTCACATCTCTTGCCCTTACTTGATGATTTTACTTTTTTTTTTTTTTTGGTTAGTTTTTTCAGTGAATCAGCAATGAGAAATTTCTTAGCATTCTACCATAAACCTGTACTTAAATATTCTCTTTTGGGTGTTGGTCCATGCTCTTATCAGTAGTTCTTAATGTATAGTTTCTGCACCTTTGGGATCCTCAAAACTCTTTCAGAGATTCCGTGAGACAAGAACTTTTCATACTAAGACGATCTGCCCTTTTCTGTCTATTGAAATTGGTACTAAGGGTGCAAAAGCAAATGGTGGATAAAATACAAAGATTTTCTTTGTTTCTTTACTCTTTTATTCCTTTTCTTCAGTCAAGTTTTATTTTTACCATTTTACTAAGACCGTATTGTGTACCATCATTAATGTCATCTGTATTCCTTAATCTAGTGGTCAGCAATCTTGTCAGTAACATTTGATCGAGTTGATCACTTCCATCTTTTATTTTTTTTTCATTTGGCTTCAGGGATACCATTTTCTCTTGGGTCTTTTCCTTCACTGGCTTTCTTGGGAGCAGGGTTGTTCATCATCTCTTCTTTGTCTAATGTAAGAATGCTGCCAGGGCTCTCACTCCTGTGACCTCTTCTTTATTAATGGTCACTCCCTAAGCAGTGCCCCTCCACTCCCAGTTCAGTTCAGTCCTTTGGCTTTAAGCACATGACTTCCCATTTGTATCTCTATTTCCCATGTATCTCCTGAGTCTCTCCCCTTCACCATCTTGGAGATCCAGTAGGCATCTTAAAATTAACATATTCAAAACGAAATCATTCCTCTGCCCTTTATCCACTTTTCCCTCAGTCATCTGTCTCAGTAAATGGCAGTGTTCTAGAATTGTCTAGATTTGAATCTCCGCCACCAGTTCTCAGTTTTTACATATGTAAAATGGATGGGTAATAATGCAACAACCTTACAAAGTGGGTACCAGGATTAAATGTAAGTGAGGTAAAATTTTTCACATGATAGTTGTTAATTACTAGTTGACAGGCTTGGCTTTATCACCTTTTGATGAACTTACATATCTAATACATTAGCAAATTCCAAAATACGTATATTCAGAATCTAACCATTTCTACTGTTCCCCTTGGGTCTTGTCTCAGTTCTAACTCAGCTTCTCCTTCTTTTGCTTTCCACGTAGGTTATACTGAGATACTGCTGCTCTCCCTTTCTTTATTCCCTCCTTTATTTTCTACAGTTCTTCCCTTAGCATCTCTAGCCACTAAAGTTTTTGTTTCAAATACTTCAAGCAAGCTTCTATTAGAGCGTCACACTTGTTCCCTTTGCCCTTGCAATGTTTTTCCCCTGTATTTGCATAGTTATTATGTTGGCTTCCTCACTTTTCTGTAGTTACCTGCTTCAGTTTTACGTTGTCAGTGAGGCCTTTCTGCTCACTCTTGTATCCAGTCTTGAATTCTGTTCAGCAGTATTCGGTACCCAAATACAGATAAATTGAATTAGAACAGACTTGTCCTTCCAAATAACTTGGCTTCCATTAATGGAAACTTTGAAGTCACTGAGTCTTGGACTTTTTCCCTCAGATTTTTTCTTACCTTAGCATTTTTACAGCTTTATAAAGATAAAATTGACATACAGTAAACTGCCTGCTACATTTAAAGTGAACAACTTGATAGTTTTTACATATGTATACACCTGTAAACCATTATCTCAAGATAATGATATAACTCATCTCAGTTTCCTTTTACTCCTTTGTACTTCATTCCCTCTTCTGGCAACTACCAATCTCCCTTTGGTCACTGTACAGTAGATGAGTTTGCATTCTGTAGAATTTTATCTGAGTAGTATCCTACTGTATATACTATGGAGTTTTTGTTTTTGTTTTGTATGGCAATTTTAGTTCTGCATAATTGTTTTGAGATTCATCTGTTATCACATATGTAAGTAGTTCATTCCTTTTTGTTGGTATTCCATAATGTGGATATGTCACAATTTGTTTATCCATTTGACTTTCCAGTTTTTGCCTATTGTAAGTAAAGCTGCTATGATATTTGTGTACAAGTTTTTATATGGGCATATACCTTGATTTCTCATGTGTTAATACCTAGGAATGGAATGGCTGGATATATCATATGGTAGTTATGTATGTAAGAAACTCCCAACTGTTTTCTAAATTGATTCCATTATTTACATTTCTGTCAGCAGAATATGAGAGTTCAGCTGCTCCAATCTTTGTCAAGACTTGATAGGTTAGGCGTATGTCATCTCATTATGAGTTTAGTTTGCATTTCTCAAATGGCTAAAGATGCTGAGCATCTTTTTTGTGCCTTATTTACTATTCATATGTAAGATTTAAAAATGAGAAAAGGTATAAAAAGATTTAAGATATTTTTAAAAAGTCTTTCATTTTAAGTCTGTTTAGTTTATCAAGCCATCCCCTTTTTATAGTTAATGCTTTTTCTGTCCTGCTTAAAAGGTATCTGCCAAACTCCACAAAGTCATCAAGATTTTATCCCATGTTGTCTTAGAAGTCTTGACAGTTTTAAATCTTACATGTAGAAAATATATGATCCCTTTCAAGTTTATATTTGTATGTGGTATGAGATAAGGGTTGAGGTTTTGCTTTTTTGCGTGTGGATATCCAGTTATTCTAGGAACAAATGTTGAAGAAACTATACTCTCCCCATTGCATTGGCTTGACACCTTTGTCTAAATTGGAATTGGCCAAGTGTAGATCTTTGTGTTGTGTTCCATTGATTTATTTGCCTGTAGTTATGCCAGTACCACATTGTCTTGGTCTTGAGATCACTGCCTTATGCCCTGTTTACCTAAATGTTTCTTGATTTTTTGTTGAGCCAGTACAACTTGGCTGTATGGATTTATGGTTTTTTATGATTTCTTTTATATCTGTTGTTTATTTAGGAAATATTTACAGTAAAATATATAGACTTTGTGAGTTGACAGACTTTTAAGAGAAATTATTCTAGTCAAGCTCTGAGAATGTCACCTGTGGGATTTCTTTTGCTTTTGTTGTGATAAGTGTTAAGTTTTGCTAGAGTAGTTAAAAGGTTTAAAGTTAAACTATTATGGTAAATGTAGCAGGTACTTTAAAAATGTTTCTTTAGAAAGTATTTGACACTTGAAAAAATGTTTTTCTTGCAGTCTGGATGTGGATAGTGAAGCTAAGAAACTATTGGGTTTAGGACAGAAACACCTAGTGATGGGGGATATTCCAGCAGCTGTCAATGCATTCCAGGAAGCAGCTAGTCTTTTGTAAGTACTATGTTTTGCTGTGATGTGATACTATGTTCCTAATAATTTTGAGTCATAAACAGTTGTTTTATGGGGAGAAAAGATGAAGAGCAAGAGTTTAAAAAGATTTGGTTATTTTTCATGTATTTGTTTCTTCCTGTAATGAATTCTAAAACCTACATATTGCTGAGCAGTTTCAGTGTTTGATTTTCTTGAGTAAGGTAATTTGTTTTCCAGCCACTGCTAATTAGGGTGACTAACTTGTTCTGGTCCTGGTTTGTTCTGGGACTTTCCAGTTTTAACACTAGAAGTTCTGTGTCAGGGGCAATTCCTGAGTCCTAAGCAGCCATGATGGTTCCTTACCCTACTACTAATGCTATTATTAGCATGTCATTTTTTAACATAGGTTCTTAGCACCTTTGTTACCTGTTGCAACTGCTTTAAAGTTGGCAAGCTACCAGCAGGTGACCATATATATTTATCTCATGGGTGAACAGGCTAACTTTAATGCCTTCAAAGTGATTTATTTTAACCAAAGACTTTAATGTATCTCTGAGCTGAGAAAAAAAGTATAAACTAAATCTTCAAGGAATAGTCTTTCAGCCTATAACTTGGTTTGACTTAGTTTCCTCTGAGATACTACTACCAATAGCCAACTGAATGCAGTCATGTTTCCTAATTAGTTGATTCTATCATATACAGTTTAGTTGAGCTCTTATAAAAGAAATGTTTGTAATAAAACTGGGTTTCAGGTTTGAGGCTTAACTACGATTAGAAGCCTCTGGTTTCTTCATTCCTTCTATTCAGTCAGTGAGGTCATATCAGTTCATTCTTGGCCCAACTTCGATTTCTTCCGTCGTCTAGAATACAGTCTCATTCCTGGATGCAATATTTCTTGTCTGATTCTGGGCTTCTCTGTTAGTCACCACCTGGCCTGAAGAAATGGGGCTCTAGTATTCAATGGAATGGTAAGAATATAGGCCAAATTTTATCTGACCCTAAGTGTTTAGGTATTTTATGTAAAAATGTGTGGTTATCTTGCAATGTAAAATACTAAAATCTTGAGTTTTTAAGATTAAGCATAAATAAACCCTATTAGCTTATTCCTCCTAGATTCCTGGAAAGATCAGTACTTTTGCTGTCCTGCCAGTAAGGGTATTTAGGAGAAAAATTGGAAATACACTATCCTAGTCTAGTAGACTACCCTTAAACATGACCTTCACAGTACTTACTTACTGCTTAGTTTCTCTAGTTACTCTCACTGAACTCCTAAGGCTGTTAGTTGGTCTGACTGACTTCCGCCAGTCCTCTACTTTGTGGGAGCAAGTCTCCTTATTCTACACAAAGTACTTCCTCCTCCACGCTTGTTACATTTGTGATTTTTTTCTCCCCCTCTTCCCTGTCTAGATACTAATAGCTAGAACTTTTATAATGTTATTTGTATTTCTAAGCATTTTTAAAGTGCTTTTATACACATTAATTCAATTTGTTCTTGTAGTGGCTCTTTGAGTAGTTCTAAACATTTCCATGTTTCAGATGAGAAAGAAAGCTAAGGCACTATGAGATTAAGTTACTTGTCTAAGGTTATACAGCTCGTTAAAGATTAGAGGTAGGATTTGAATCCAGGCAGTGTGGCTCCAAAGAACATGCTCTTAATTTTCTCATGATGCCTGTCCATGGACTTCACTCATCTTTTAGGTCCCAGCCGAAGGCCTATTATTTTGGCCCATATTGACACCTACCTGGTAGCAGGAGAAATACCTATTAATGTAGTTTGACTCTTAAGATTATATACTGTATAGCAAATTGATGTCATTTGGAACATACTTATATATAGATAAAGAACTGTAACATTAACTTAATGCATTGTTTCTTGAAGTCTCTTTGACCTGGACTTGAAAGCAGAGGGAGTATTGGTTTCCTAGAGGGATGTATTATTGAAGAAATGTCATTTTATAATTAAAGAACTAGAAATAAATGTTTTAGAATAGCTGTTAATTGAAATCTTAGATGTTTATTATCTTCATAGAGGTAAGAAGTATGGAGAGACAGCTAATGAGTGTGGAGAAGCCTTCTTTTTCTATGGGAAATCACTTCTGGAGCTGGCAAGGTATGTTTTAAGTCAGTTTTTAAGTAAGACATTTTGTATCACCATAATGGTCTATTTAGAAACTTAAGGTTGTTTGCAAAGATTGTTTACTAGTTTTGAGGTTTTATATGAGCCAAGTGAAATGGGTTTTACTAATAAGAAATGGGGCTTAGAAGGAACATGAAATATTGATGGAAATTTTGAAAGGCATTTGATGAAAAGAGTGAAGGTATAGTTAGGTTTTGACTTTTGGGGTCATTAGAAGCAGAGATCTTGCATAGTGATCTAGTCAATTTTTATCAAAGTCCAATATAGAGGGAAAGCCTTTAAAGGCACTTTGAGCTAGCTCAAAATAGTCATCCTTAACAAGGACTGAATGAAGAATCATTTCACTAGAATGTAAGAATGTCTAATCAATAAGACTCACAAGTAGTCTTTTTTTAAATTTTATTTTATTTTGGTATCATTAATGTACATGAATCATTTCACTAGAATGTAAGAATGTCTAATCAATAAGACTCACAAGTAGTCTTTTTTTAAATTTTATTTTATTTTGGTATCATTAATGTACAGTTACATGAACAATATTATGGTTACTAGACTCCACCCATTATCAAGTCCCCACCACATATCCCATTACAGTCACTGTCCATCAGCGTAGTAAGATGCTATAGAATCACTACTTGTCTTCTCTGTTATACTGCCTTCCCTGTGCCCCTGCCCCTACATTATGTGCTAATAGTAATGCCCCTTTCCCCCTTACCCTCCCCACCCATCCTCCCCAGTCCCTTTCCTTTTGGTAACTGTTAGTCCATTACAAGTAGTCTTAACTATTGGAGAGTTGTATATTTTCCACTAGAACTTATTAACTAGAATAAAATACACTAAAGGTACACAAACTAGCAAATGCTCTAATCTATTTAATCTCATTTTGATAAATTTTGTATTCTAATTCTCCATATAGCATGAAAATCTTGCCAGAATGTTTTGTTTTTGGCCATTTAGAGAAATGTTGATGAATTCAGAGCTTGGAAGATATTATGGACTTACTTACTGTAAAGGGACTACACATTTACCTTGTTCTTTTGACAAGAGTCATCAGTGCCCTTTCGGGTGGCTGGGTGAAGGGTATGCTTCTTTCCTACAGTGTACTCTTACAGACCTAATCTCTATTAGAAATTTTGATCATTGCTTTTCTTTTTTTTTCCTTTTGGTTTCATTAATGTACAATTACATGAACAACATTATGGTTGCTAGACTCCCCCCATTATCAAGTCCCCACCACATACCCCATTACAGTCACTGTCCATCAGCATAGTAAGCTATAGAATCACTACTTGTCTTCTCTGTTATACTGCCTTCCCTGTGCCCCTGCCCCTACATTATGTGCTAATCGTAATGCCCCTTTCCCCCCTTATCCCTCCCTCCTAACCCATCTTCCCCAGTCCTTTTTCCTTTGATAACTGTTAGTCCATTCTTGGTTGATCACTGCTTTTCTTCCTTGAGTACTTAGTTTATATTCTTTGCACTTGCTTATACTCTACTGTTGCTTTTATAATACAGAACTATAATTTCTGTCTTGCGCAACTGTTAGGTTTTAGCCATTGTGCCTTCCGTGCTTTCTCCTTTTGTTCTCCTAGAATGGAGAATGGTGTGTTGGGAAATGCCCTGGAAGGTGTGCATGTGGAAGAGGAGGAAGGAGAAAAAACAGAAGACGAATCTCTGGTAGAAAATAATGATAACATAGATGGTATGTGGAGTTGCATGTGACATTGAAGAGATGCGACGTATTATTTTTGTGTACAAGTGACGGAAATAGGCTCTCTTTTCTGAAAGTCTCTCCTAAGATGCTTGTGAGATACCTGCCTTTTGGTGGAGACTAGAGTGGAGTTAGCTGAATACCGAAACTGATAGCAGGCTTTTTTAAGAGGATAACCTAAATCTCCAAATCTAGCTGTTTTAAATATTTCAAACTTAAGTATTTTTCTGATACAAGTTTTTAAAAAGTCTTTGTAGCTCATTAATTTTGATAGCAATGCTTTTGGAGCCCTTTAACAAAAACTTTAATGTTAATTTCTAAGCTGGTTTTGGCTTCTAGAGTTTTACGTATCAGATGGAAGTCTGTAATGTTTAGAGGAGAATATAAAGCTTGGCATCTCTTACCTGATAATCAGAGTGCTCAAGTGAAATATTATCTTATAGAAGGAGCTTGAGTTTCTTTTGCAATAAGTTGCTCTGCTGTCTGGGACTTTATTCCCTTTGCTTTCTCAAGGGTGACAGATAAATTTTTTTTTCTATAAGACCATCTGCTTAAAGTTAAGCCAGGCTGTTTGAGGGTTTAAAGGGAATGTATTTTTAGTTACCATTTATGCCTTTATCATTAAACTAGAAGACATGTTTATGCTTCATGTTCTTTAACCATGTAGAGGAAGCAAGGGAAGAGTTGAGAGAACAGGTTTATGACGCCATGGGAGAAAAAGAAGAAGCCAAAAAAATAGAAGACAAGTCTCTGGTAAAGCCTGAAACTGATAAAGAACAGGAGGCTGAAATGGAGAAGGGTGGAAGAGAAGATATGGATATAAGTGAGCCTGCAGAGGAACTACAGGAAAAAGTTGAATCAACTCCAGATAAGTTAACTGAAACCAATGGGAAAGCTAAGGAAGCTGCAGCACCAGAAGGACTGCGTGAAGCTGAGGTCCCTTCTGGAAAGCTGGAACAGGAAGCGCCAGACGCTGAGGCAGGAAAATTGGTTTCTGCACTTGATGCCCAAGAAGTATGCAGAGAAAAAGGAGGTCAGGAGAAACAGGGAGAAGTGATTGTGAGCATAGAGGGGAAGCCAAAAGAAGCTTCAGGAAAGCAGCCTGTTGTGACTCTAGAAAAGTGGGGCAGTGCATTGGAGGTAGAAGCAGAGCCTGTAGATCCAACAATCGAGCCAGTGGATGTGGGTGGGGATGGGCCAAAAGAGCAGGTAGCTGCTTCTGTAAATGAGCCAGGAAAGGCTGTTCTTGAGCATCTGGTAGGGCAAGAAGTACCTCCTGCTGAAGAGTCACCAGAGTTGATAGCAGAGGCTGTATCAGAAGTTCCTGAGAAGCTTGGGCAGGAGGCCATAGTTCTTCCTAAGGATGGTACAGTCAATGGACTGTTGGCTGCAGGAGATAAGACTCCAATTGAACCGCAGACTAATGCAGAAGGACTGACAGAAATGAAAGACGACTCAGAACTAGAGGAGGTCGGGGCAAAGTTGGTTCCTAAGGAGGAGAACAAGCTGTCCACAGAAGAGTCTGAGGTAGCTGGAGATGGGGTTGATACTGAGGTAGCTCAGGGGGCTACTGTGGAATCTCCTGAAGACAAAGTTAAGATAGCTGCTAATGAAGAAGCACGAGAGAGAGAAGAACAGATGAAAGAGGGTGAAGGTAACCGGGATATGCAAGAACTGCAGTGGGTGGAGTACATTCTGGATTTGACTCACTAATCATGGGTAAAAGTCAGCCTTCCATTCAGGATTTTCCGTCTGCCTTTGGATTAGGAAAGGGCTAAATGAAAACGGGGGCACTTTAAGAAGGTTGTGATTAAAGTTGAGCAAGTTAAAACAAAAGCAAGTTCTGGCTTATAAACTAACGCTTTTACTAACTGCAAAATAGGCCTTCTCTTTGGATTTCTGAGACTTGGCTAGCTATCAGTAGTAACTTGTTGCACCATACTAGCCAATAAAGGCAGATGTGGGTGGTGGGGTAGGTAGGGAAATAGTGGGCTAGGCTGGCAGAGAATGCTGAATGGATGTTCACTTGCATGCCTCCGGATTTTTTACTTAACTGTTCACATGGTTCCTTTTCTCTGCTTTTGGAAAAAGCAGGAGTAGAGCAGTAGAATCCACTGAATTTGGTACACTTGAGCAGGCATGCCATTTCAATGAAGGCATTAACCCTTGAATGTTCTATCACCATACTGAAAGAATTCTGGTGACCCTCTTTACCTTTAGTCTTCATCAGGAAGTGTTTGGGGCTTATTCATATAGTTAAATTAGCCCCCTTCCGAAAGATAAAAAACTTAACCATTAGCCTTCGCTGCTTTCCCCCCTCATTTCATGCTTGCTTTGGCTGCTAAACTGAAGTTTTTGTTAATACAGAACGTTATAAAGTGTGGATTCTTTGTATAGTATTATTGGTATAATTGTGATTCAGTTTCATCAGGATGTCTAAGCCTCTAATTAGTAATCTCACATTTGGCACGTCTGACTTGAGTTGTACTATCATTTAAGGATTCTACTGTCCATAGCATTCATCTAACGGTATTAATTACCACAGGTATATCCCAATTTATTATTACTATATAATTGCCAAACTACTTTAGGAGTTCTCTTAAGTTCAAATTTTCTAATGTTCATTATCAGTGTTTGCCGCTCATTCTGGTAAACTTCCTTCCTTCTACCTATGTGCAGGTCCCTGCACTCCAGCCAGCACAGGCATGGTAAGCAGAAGTGAATTGGCTAAATGGTAGCACTACTGGGCTGCTAGGTGTTCTTTATGGAAAAAGCACAGAACTGAATTCCTCAATTTAAAAAATTCCCATGTTTTGATCTCCAGTGATGATGAGCAAAGATAATAAGCTCTGCTGGGTCTCTTAAGCTATATAATAGAGATGTCATATTTCTCCATGGTTTGTCATAAACTATTCAGTGAGATCACAAGTAACTGTGTTAGAACTCTCTCACATACATTGCTTTGGAATCCAAAATAATACTCTGTAGTAGGTTGTCTTACTCCAGCTACAGCACTGAGGAAAGTGAGGCTTAGGGGTTACACAGCTTATTTAAAGTGAAGCAGTAAGTCACAGCACTGAAATCTGACTTGAATGTATTATTTCCCAAGCTACCTTAAGACTAAGGAAGGCAACTTTTATCCCCATCAATCTACTTCTTACCAGAAATTTTCTGATCCATTTTTCTTTTAATTATAGCAAAAGCCCTAGGAGTCACCAGTTGCATTTTTTTAGTGTGTACACCAGGTACTGTTCTACTTTAAAGAAGGCACAGTTTTCCATATTCTACAAATAAAGAAATGGCAGAAAGATGCAAAGTATGTTGTCCTAGTCATAGCCTACAGGGGAGGGCCGGGGTACCCAGACTACCTGGCTCTAGGGCCTGGGCTCTTTCTATGCTTTATTGCTCTTGATATGACAGCCCTAGCCTGCAGAAATCTTGCAAGTGGTTTTCTCGTAAAGCCCCATTGCCTATCACCTTCAGAGCTGCCTGTATCCCTAATAAAAACAACTGTTCTGTTCTAATAGTTGGTCAGATTAGATGTGATTGGTAAGTGAGCAAAAATTTTAAAATGTTGGCATAAAGCCTGGCCGTGCTCAGACTATGTTGGTGAATGTAGCGGTTTCCTGACTTTACCCTGAGGGAATGCTAGGATAACCAAGGAATCAGATTGCTTTTACTTTGCCTTCACAATTCATTCTTGTTTGTACTACTCTGTGCCCATATCATTTTGAAGAGGCTACAAGATGAGAGAAATGGTAGAAAACAGTGTTTCCCTTGTTGAGGGATGTAACAGGTATATAACAAGATCCATTTTCAAGGAAGCTTGGAAAATATTTCACCATATCTTTACTGAGGACACGGCATTCCCAGTAATACCTGGGTACAGGTTACCAAGTTGGAAAGTGTTGAGAGAAAGCCATTGCGTTAAAACATTGACCTAGCTCCCTCTCCACCATTCCATGAAGTGCAGATTCCTCAAGAAAATCAGTATTTTTCTCAGACCATTGTCAAAATTCTAATTTAAAACTCCAAATAGAGATTTTATGCCAAATGAGAAGTTGCCTTCTAGCATTTAGGTATGAGTAGAAGCAAGTAACAGATACTTAAGAATACAGAAAAACAGTAAACATTTTGTCAATTTTCCCTGGAACTTGGGAAGATAAAAGTTTGTTTTTTTGAGTCTATTATGAAATTTATGTCACCTGTCTTGCATATTCTAGAGGACGGGCTTTATTGTCACAGTCCATAGAACCACTCATCTAGTCTAATGAGGGAACTAAGTACACAAACCGTTTGGAAATACGGTTATGGAAAGATAATGGTGTGTGATGGTGGGTATTCATATTTTAAATCACATGGTCAACAGAAAAGTCAGTCCCTTGATAAAACAGGACTTGCTATAGAAGTTAATTGCCTTGTAACTTATAACTGGCTTTTAGTGGACTTGGTCTGTTCTACTAATAATATATAATACATAGGAATTTTCTGTTCTTGTTCCCATCCCGAAGCAGTATTGCTGGACAGAAAGTCCTTTAACCTGGCTTCATGGCTCTCAGCCTGATTGCCATATTCCTATCCCATGGTAGGCTGCTAGGAGAGACTGAGCTCTTTAGTTGTTGGTATTACAAATGCTTACTGAGAGATGGCAGAGGGTAGGCACATAATACCCAATTCATGAATTGTTTGTATCCCCCAAAGCCCATTTTAATCACTTGATGTTCTGAGCTTTAAATTGTGTGTATAGCTATTAACATCCTTATTGGCAGGTGACTTACGAGTACACGTAAATATGGTGTCAACATGGCTACAAATTTTAACATGGTACTGGAGTAAAATAAGTGGTTATGGTAAGCTCACTCGAATTCTGTGCGTGCAAGAGCTGGCTGGAGTCTGTGGCATGCTCATTGGTGACAGGGCTGTGCTTTTTCTCTCATAGCTCTGTTGTTGAAAAGCTAGTCTCAAGCATTCTTCCTCTGAATGGACTGGATTCATTTAACTTGATACTTTCTCAGCCTATTAGTGTTATCTAACAGGTGACTTACAGACACCAGGAACTGGTGAGGCCTCCAACTGCTACTGGCTGAGTAGATGGGAGCTACTAGTGAATAAGAGTCAGTAACTAATCTGTCTTTATCTGAGTGATCACGTTGACTTGGAAGAGAAACACCTCAACCTTTTGATTTGTTGAAGGTTGAACCATAGACACTGTAAGATTACATAGTCTAAGTCTAGATTAAATTTGAATTAGACTTGTAATCACTTGCAATCATCTTTCTATCCAGTTCAAATGTTTGACACCAACTTAGCATCTGGCCTGTCCTACCTCAAAATATGGTTTATTTGACAGATGTTTATTGGAGTCTGACTAGTCAGAAGATATCTTAGTGTTCACAATACTGAGGAATTTTCGCTTGCAGAAACTGAAGGCTCAGAAGAGGAGGATAAAGAAAATGACAAGGCTGAAGAAACACCAAATGATTCAGTTCTTGAAAACAAGGTTAAGTCATTATTTTGTTTGATACATTGTCTGCTTTTTTGTCTTGTAGAACTGTGGCTTACTAGTGTAGGCGTGATTATTATAGATAGCTGATTTCTGGTTAGGGATTAGGGACCCTTCATGCCTAGAATAGGAAAAGATCCATTTGATCCCAAGGGTTCCTGTCAGACAGGACCCATCACACCACTGTCACAAAGCATTGACAAACTTTGTAGGGATCTGTTCTGTAGATTTTAGGGAAGAATGTCCAAATTTTGAATCCTACTATCAGGATTTTTCTTTTTTTAGGCTATACTAAGTATTACATTTAGATTTGTAATTTAAAGATGGTCTTGTACTTCTGCCTAATACCAGTGACTTGGGTATACTTTAGTCACTTCAAGAAAATGAAGAGGAGGAGATTGGGAACCTAGAGCTTGCCTGGGATATGCTGGATTTAGCAAAGATCATTTTTAAAAGGTAAAAAAACTCTTGGTGTTTCTAGGATCTGGTTGGGAGCTTGGTGGCTGAAAACAGGTTAGGGTTGGACAAATGCTGTTAAGGTTTCTGATCATCTTTTAGGCAAGAAACAAAAGAAGCTCAGCTTTATGCTGCACAAGCACATCTTAAACTTGGAGAAGTCAGCGTTGAATCTGGTAACATTTTCCGTTTTGCTCTCTAGTGTGCTCCTTGCCTCCCTTCTTCCTCTGAGTTCTTAAAATCCAGCTTGATTGATCCTAAGTTGTGGATAACTTGGTTTTAAAAGGATAGTAGATTTGGGTTTCCTATAGTCCTCAGAACAGTGAATAGTAATAATAGTGTCTTCTAAGTAATACACAGCTTAAAGTCTTTCAGCAGGTTTTTCCCCCCCCTATTAATTTGACATTTTTTATAGATAGTCCAGGGTCTTGGAGATGTTGCAAAGAAAAGTTAAATGTAAAATGGGGAGCATTCCTCTGGAATGGTCTGAAATATAGAAGTATCATATGTCCATTTGCTTGCTGTTCTTCTCTTCATTAGAAAATTATGTCCAAGCTGTGGAAGAGTTCCAAGCTTGCCTTAATCTGCAAGAGCAGTACCTGGAAGCCCATGACCGTCTCCTTGCAGAGACCCATTACCAGCTAGGCTTGGCCTATGGATATAACTCTCAGTATGATGAGGCAGTGGTACAGTTCAGCAAATCCATTGAAGTCATCGAGAAGAGAATGGGTGAGTGAGCGTAAGCTATTTTTATGGATGATCTTGATGGATCAAGAAACTGACAAGGTAAAAAAATGGGTCTTTTTGTGGTAACTCTTAACTGATCACTTCAGCGTGTTTTTTGTAGCTGTACTAAATGAGCAGAGGAAGGAGGCCGAAGGATCACCTACTGAATATGAGAAAGAAATTGAGGAGCTAAAGGAGCTGCTACCTGAAATCAGAGAGAAGATAGAAGATGCAAAGGAGTCCCAGCATAGTGGGAATGTGGCTGAATTGGCTCTGAAGGCAACTCTGGTTGGTGTGGCTTCCTTTTAAAGTCTTCATAACAGCATGCTTGATAACGTTGACGTCATCATGGTGTTTATGTTCTGTTTGCTAGGAATCTTAGTCATGACTTGGTTTCCAGGGAGTTGGTGAAAACTTACCTAATTATTCCTAACTAGTATAATGTTTAAGAGAATATGCTCTGGAGCTGGACTGGGTTTGAATTTTGTTCCCTGCTGCTTACATTGTGGATGACCATGGGCTTGTTACCTTTGCTGTGGTGGCTTATCTGTAAAATGAAGATAATAGTACCTGTGTGTTACAATGCTTCTGATGGTACAAGACAAATAGTATTTGCCTAACAAACATAGGCTATTATTTCCTTCTTTTGAGGATTTCTCTGTATAGACTAGTAAAGCTTTGAAGACCTTTAACCCCAGATTGTCTGACTCTGGTTTTGGCTGCTGGGATGTCAGGGAGCTTTGTACCCTACAGGTGATGGTAGGATATGGAGGATTTAGTTTAAAGTCTACTCTGCCCCAGGTTGGAGTGGCAGGTGCAGGTGGATGGGATAGATGCGGTTGCTATTTGGAAGCCACTAGTATTTGAGATCTCATTTAGCTGATGGTGGGTACCTGGTGTAGGAACGTGTGTAGAGCCTGGTAGGTTCTATCCTGGGACCTACTTGGCTTTGTCTGACGCAGGTGGAGAGCTCGACTTCAGGTTTCTCTCCTAGTGGAGGAGGGTCTTCAGTCTCTATGGTGGGTACTCAAGTGACTTATCCCTTAACAGCCCTCAGTGTCTGTCTCATGTGTACCTAAGCTTTGTACATTGCTAACAAAGGCTTCCTTTTTGCCAGGTTGCCGGTAGAAAGCCAACAGATGGAGCTTCCTCATCAAATTGTGTGACTGATATTTCCCATCTTGTCAGAAAGAAGGTAAATCTACACATGGTCATTTCCATCTTCACCATTTGCATTTTTTCTTTGCTCCAAATGACACATGAGGGATGCCTTTCCTGTAAACACTCTGGATATTTGCTGTGTAGTAAGATACTCATTTTGCAAAGATGAGGATTTGTGAGTAAAGATAGTTTTCTCTTGAAAACCTCTTGTAGTAAAACTCTCTTGGCCTCTTTTAGCCCAAGGACTGTCAGGAAAGCTGCTTAGATTGGTTAGATCAGCCCATCTTAAGAAGCTGGTCTATTTTCTCTTGACAGTAGTCATTCAGCAGCAAATCTGCTGGTATTTAAACTCCTGTGAGTCTGCCTTCTCCCTAAGTTGCAGTATTCTCCCCCACCCCCCGCTTCTGTGGTAAAGTCTTACTCCTGGTTTGTTTCCTGACTCAGATTCAGACTTGGGGTTGGTTCTTATTCACATCTCATGCTCACCTCATCCTTCCACCAGAGAGGCTCAATTGTTGGGTTGGGGCAGACCAGTTTAATCAGTGGACCACAAGCTGGCAGCCGCTTCCTGTGCTAAGGGAGTTTCCAGAGCTCTGACTGTAGGGTTTAGTATCTTTGCATTATGGTAGGGAGGGTTATGGTGTTTTTCAGTTGTCCTTTTATAAAAACATTATCACATCTGTGAATTCTTCACAATTTTATCTTTAGAGGAAACCAGAGGAAGAGAGTCCCCGGAAAGATGATGCAAAGAAATCCAAACCAGAGCCGGAGGTGAACGGGGGCAGTGGGGACACTGCCTCCAGTGGGAAGGAAGTCTCAGAAAACATGGAGGAGGAGGTGGGCAGTTAAGCAGGGCTTGGACTCTTGCCTTACTTTTCTCTGTTTCCAGGGCCTGGGGAAACCAGTCCTTCCAGAGCGCGTGTTGCCCACTTTGAGCCTGTTTGGATTGCTTGAGTGCAACCCTTGTGAAAACAATGTGCAGGCAACAGTTTGGTTATGAAATACAGGATGTCTCATTGACAGAGGGAACCTGGATACACACCACAGGTCCTCTGCTGATGAATGTATATGAGAAGGCACTTGATTGGCAAGACCATTGGTCCCTTCTGCTTGCTTTTTACATATATGAACATTGGCTCTGTCAGCCCTATTATGACAGAATTTAGGAAAGGGCCTTATACTCTATGGATATTGCCTCGTTAGTATATGGGGCAAAGCAGAATTTAGGAGACATGTTCACTTTCTCTGAGACCTGCTCAGGTGTGTAAGGTAGAATGGCTCACAATGGGGTCACTTAATGCCCAGGCGCCCTGTTTATCTTCCAGGCTGGGAATCAGGCTGAGAGCCGGGCAGCAGTGGAGGCCGGAGCTCCAGTTGAAAGCACTGCGTGTTAAGAGAGGGAGCAGAGCCTTCTTCTCAAGGGAAAGTGTTTTTGTATATAATGTATTTTTTCACTTTTGGGGGATTCTTTTTGTATAACTTCAATAAAGATTGTAAGCAAAGGTTGAGGCTTTGATGACTTTTTTCCTTAAATTTTTGCTGAATATGTGCCATGCAGCACTCTGGATTTTATATATTGTGGCCAAAGGTACTTTTTCTTTCCCCTTCTGTACTGATCTCTGTGTTGGAAGTTCTAATCCAAATTCCTGTCAGTGTATCTGCAGGCCCTCTGTAGTCTATATTTTTTCTGTTTTAAATACTTGACTGAACCCAGCTGTCTTGCGAACTTTCAGTGGTGCTGTCCCTGGACGGGGTCTACAAAAACAAGGCTTGGTGAAGATTTTGCTCTTTGGTGCTCATACTGCGTGATGGACTTTGTGAGCTGCTATCAGCCTCTAAGCCAGCCCTTGCACACCAGTGGTACTTCTTTTATCCACCTAGTCTTAACTGGGGCCATAATCCTGTCTAGGGGAAAGAACTCTAAAGAAAACTTAGTGGGGCCAGGGGAAATCCTTGAGGAAAACTGGTATGCTAATTGTAGAGAATTGAGCTTTCTGGCTTGAAAGTGGCTAATGGACTGATTGATGATGATGGCCAACATTTTGGATGTTGGAAATTTCTGTGGGGAGACTGGCTTACATTTGTTTTCTGTACAGAAAGGTTGAAATATATCAACATTTGAATTGTTATGCTGTCTGCAGTTTTGACTTAAATAAAGATGCTAAAAAACTCCTGGTTTGGACTTGTGTTTAAGATCTTACAGTAAGATTCTAGACTGCCTGGAGCATTTCAGGTGTGGAATATGGGGTTGAAAGGTGGAAACTGGCCCCTGAATTCCAGCTGCCTAGTCCAGTGGTGCTGGTGCTCAGGACACTGGTCTATCTTGTTGGGCCCTGACGGATTGATGTCCAGGGTGCAGGGCTAGTGTGAGGCCCTGACTGAGCTGCCTTTGACTTGACCATTAGTTTACAACTTGCTGTGCACCAGGTATTACTAGGTACTATTTGGACCCAAATTCCAAACTACTTCCCTACACTACTTAAGGAAATTTAATACACCCACTGTTACTTTGCTGCATAGTATAGGACAGACAGGAGGTTAGAACCTGCTGTTTGAACATCAAGTATCAGAGGCAGAAGAGTTATGCTGACCTGACCCCCAAGTCAGCTGTATTTTTCAGAGTTTATATTCTCTAAATACGAGAGGATGGCTGGAGCTTCCTTGGGCTGGTAAGTTGTGGCTAGGTAGAATTTTTGGCTTTGTATTTCCTGAAAATCCCTTGTATTGGGCGTTTCAGAAGTCCTGAGGCTTTTGTTGGGTCAGGTCATTACAGTCATGACATTCTTGACTCAGGCCTCTGACCTCCTTTGATTGAAATGGGACTGCAGCCAGGCCCAGCATCAAATTTCAGCTAGACGTGAACCTCCCCCTTTGGCATGAATGTTACTGGGTTGGGGCTGGGGCTGGGTCCTGGAATTTGTAAGTACCTAAGGCTACAGGAACTCCTTATTTATTTATTTTTCTAGGCTTTTGCCCCTTGAGTTAAATTTATTGTTCAAATGACTTGTGCATTGATTTATTTAGTTGGGATACAATCAGCACAGTATTTTTTTTTTTTTTTGAGAGGGCATCTCATTTATTGATCAAATGGTTGTTAGTATAGGGGGGGTCAATGCTCAATGTACAATCATTAATCCATCTCAAGTCTAATTCTCGTCAGTCTCCAATCTTCTGAAGCATAACGAACAAGTTCTTACATGGTGAACGAATTCTTACATAGTGAATAAATTCTTACATGGTGAACAGTACAAGGGCATTCATCACAGAAACTTTCGGTTTTGATCATGCAATATGACCTATAAACCATCAGGTCAAATATGAATATTCATTTGATTTTTGTACTTGATTTATATGTTGATCCCACATTTCTCCTATTATTATTATTATTTTTATTTTTAATAAAATGCTGAAGTGGTAGGTAGATGCAAGATAAAGGTAGAAAACATAGTTTAGTGCTGTAAGAAGGCAAATGTAGATGATCAGATGATCAGGTGTGTGCCTATGGACTAAGTATTAATCCAGGCTAGACAAGGGCAGCAAGACATCCACGGATGCAGAAGATTTCTCTCAAAGCAGGGGGGGTGAGGTTCTGAGCCTCACCTCTGTTGATCCCCAAATTCTCACCTGATGGCCCCCCTGCGACTGTGCCTGTCTTAGGTTGTTCCTCCCTTGAGGAATCTTACCCGTCTCTGGCTAACCAGTCATCTTCCGGGGCCATACAGGGAAATGTAAAGTTGGTAAGTGAGAGAGAAGCCATATTGTTTGAAAAGGTTAGCTTTTTACTTCTTTGCAGATTTATGCCCTGTGGCTTCTATGCCCAGCACTTGTCTCGAGGTATCTTTACCACCTGGAGGAATTATGATACTCGGTAAATTCGATATGAGGCACGAATTCTATTTAAGGGTTGTAATTAGGAAGGAAGAAGAAAAGCTATAGAGGTAGCATATGGAAGGAAACATGGGAGGATTGATTATTTCTTTGACATATCTTCTTGTAGAGTACCTTAAGTATGTATAGGTTTTAAACTACCAACTAATTTGCACACACATATTAACATAATAGGAATACGGTGACATAAACAAAGCAAATCTATAATTACCATCCATCTCCAGTGAAGCCAAGAAAACCATTTAGGCACCCTAGGCATTTGTGAAAATTTGTCTATGATATGATGGATATTGTCCAACTGTACTTGAACAGTGAGAGAAATCAAAGCAGCCCATTTCTGGGATCTGTTCACATCCCATATGTTCTTTAACCATAGACAGTCTATAGTCATAAGATTTTGGAGTGCTACAACTTGCACCCCTCCCAACTCCTGGTTGAGAGGAACTCCTTATTTATGGGGACCTTGAGAGTGTCCTCAGGAAGCTTGGATATGAATGGCAGTCACTCAAAGACATGGCCTCAGTAAGGTGGGCCTTATCAAAAGATGGGAATGAGTTTATCGAGGTCCTTTACCTAGAGCACCCCTAGTCATCTTTCAAAGAACTTCCTATATTCCAGGCATTGTTGGGAATACCTGACACTTATCTAATACATCATAAGTGTCTTACAAAAAGGAAGCAGGTAAAGAAAGGCCAAGGACTTGTGGAAGGTGGGAAAACTGTCCGGGTTGGGGCTCTATTCTGTGCTCATAAGGGCTATTTCCTTATAGACCCTCTGTCAGAATATTCAGTACTAGTAAAGCTGCAGGTCTGGCAATAGCATCAATCAATGTAAGCGTAGTACTATGCATGTTGTTACCTACATTCTGGTTTGAGCCAGTGGGGGTGGATCAGAGCTGCGGTGAGGGCCCACATCCTCATTTCTATTCTTGACTCTCACTGAGGGGCTCTCCTGCAGGAGGAGGAGGAGGGTCAATGAAGCCAGCTGTTGGGGCAAATGAACTGGTTGCCAATGAAGAGCTGGACAGCTGGGGAACAGGGAGAAGATGGAGCCTTAGCAAGAGGTTTCTGTAAAGTAACAGCATGGGTTGTGGGGTGCACTGCCCGGGAGTCTTGTGGTGAACCAAGGTAACCTCATGCTCTGACTTCCTTACCTGTTTACATAGTATGTACTTAATAGGATATGTGAAGATCAAATGAGTTAATACACAGGAAGTATTTGGTAGTAACGTGACACAGTGATCAAAAGGCCAGCTGTTAATGCTCCTAGTTCTAGTTGGGCTCTCACCGGAGGTGGGTACTGGTACTTGTGGGCATTTGCTGGATTGACCTCTGCCAGGGTCTGGACACCTGCATCTCTTGCATTCACCAGCCGCAGAAAGAGCTCAGCCTGACCTACCTGGGGAGAGGTGAAATGGTACTGCATCTGTACTCTAGAGGAGTGGACCCAGTCCCCATCTTCTGCACTCACCTGAGGAATCCCATTCAGCTGCCCAAGGCAAAGGCTGAGGTCCAGAGGAAGGGCCCGAAGTGGGAGACGCCAGTGGCCGCTTAGCACCCTCTGATGCCGGTCAAACAGTACCAGTGAGGCCCAAGCCTTTGGCTGTGGTGCCCTAGCCCATGCCAGTCCCTGCCACACCTGTAGCTCACAGACTAAGGATACTGATGGTGAGGGTAGCAGTCTAGAACAACCAAAAAGGTGTCAGAAGTCAGAAATAACAGTGCCTTAGAACTTGGCTCTCAAAACAAAGCCAGTGGCCAACAGTAAGAAAACAATGAAGGGAAGAACCAAAATTGTGGCAAAGCACTGAAGTCATCAATTCCCACCTACTGACCTGGGTACAGGCTGTCTGCTGGCAAGGATGGCACAGCTACCCATGGGCCCAGGAGCTGGAGGCGGGGGCAAGCAAAGGGCTGGGGGCAATGCTGTGGTCCTTCCTGTATCCTGTCCATCTCGGGCCAAGCCAGTAATTAGTTGCACCCAGATCCAAGAAGCATCAAGGCCCCGAAGGAAGTCATAAAAAATGACCAGGCCAGCCCTGGGGAGCAGAGGTCTCAGCTTGAATAACCCCACCCCACACTACCCAAGTCATGGAGGATATCAGGAGGGAGCAGGCCTCACCCAGGGTCGTAGGGTGCAGGGCCCAGAACATCAAACGTGGGCAAGAGGGTATGTGGATCCGGGTCCAGGTTCCTGGTCATAGTTCCAGTTACATGGGGCTGTGGGGGAAGAGTTGACCCTTACAGGAAGCTTAAGGTTCCTATGCTCCAACAGTACAAAGCAGAGCTGCCCCCACCCCCTAGGCCCTGGGTCCTCACAACCTTTTCTGTACCATCCAAGAATGGAACGCTTGAGTGAGGAAGTGGCGGTAGTGGGAGAGCCACCCGCGGTGGGAGGCGTGGGTGATCTCCCCTCCTCAGGCATGGGCAGGGATCGGCCACGAGTCGAAACTCCCCAGATCCTAGGACCAGAGGAAGAGTAGGATGTCCCTGAGCAGGACACAGCAAGTAACTGGGCTGAGATACCACTCCCAATTGCTGAACCCAAGCACAGACACCTGCAGATGCGCGAGCAGACGCAACACAAACATACGTCTTATTCCCCCAGCGTGTTCCCGCTTAACCCCTTCCTCTGAGCACGGCCTGCTGGGGAGGGAGCTAGGCGAGGTTGGGCTACGGTGTTCACTGACCCCAGGGTGTCCGGCCTGAGCCCCTCTGCATCTGCAAGGCCAGGATTTCTTCCTCCAGGCGTCGGTTTTCAGCCTCCACTATGAGAACCTCCCTCAAGGCGGCATCTGCCGGTCGTTCTGAGATGAACAAGTCAGATCTGTTGCCTCTGACCTGTGGTGACCAGCCGGTCAGCTCTCTAGCCTTCGGACTGTCTGGACAAGGCTGAAGTTGTCAGCTATCACTCTAGCCATTGCCACAAGGCCCCACCAGGTTTTCTACCTCAGGGCTTTTGCTCCTACCATACACCTTCCCTCACTGCCCTTTTCTCCTCCCAGGACTAAGACCACCGCTTCCGAGAAGCCCTCCTGGCTGGCCTCTCCTGTTCACCCCTGCGAGTCCGCAACCGCTGCAGCTCCAGGGCTGACGCCTCCACTTGCAACCGACTTATCTGGCCCAGAATGCCAGGGTCCCGGCCCCCACCTCGAATGTAGACCTCACGCAGGGTCCTACGGAGTAGGGGACAAAGTAGCAGGGTCTTTCCAGGACTGATCAGAGTTTCTCCCATGCCCATTTCCGGGCCCCGGACCTCACCCGATCTCGGCAGTCAAAGTCCCTGGATTGGCCTGCAGCACTGGACAACAGAGTTCTGCCTCTCGCAAGGCGTCTAGCTGGGCCCTTGGGTTGGCGAAAACCCAAGTGAAGAGGAATCAAGGAACCAGACCCAACCACAGGCCTCCGCCAGTCCCGCCCCTTCCCGACCAAACACTCTTGGTCTTTCAGCCCTTTCCGGACCTGCGCCTCGAGCGCCCCGCCCTCCCGGGCTCCCGCCCCGCCCACCGTCCCCGCCCACCGTCCGCTTCTCCCCGCGCCTCCGAGATCCCGCGCGCCGGGTCTTACCCGGACTTCGCCGGTAGCTGCTGCACGTGTACCCCTAAGGCCTCTAGAGCTCCCCGCGTTCTTCCAGCCTCTGCCCGGAGTTCCCGAAGCTCCCGCTCCAGGCCAGAGAGGCGTGATATCCCGGCCCGTGTCTTGGCCAAACCTTGGAGGCGGTGGGTCAGTTCTGAGGGGGTAAGGGAACGAGCCAGAACGCGTATCAGCAACCTCACAGCCAAGGGCCCAGGGGCGGGGCGGGTTCCTAGTTCCCTCTCCCCTACTGTGTCCACCTTCGCCGAGTCGCTCCAGGGCCCGACTATGTGCGTTAGTCTCCGCCACGCGCCTAGCGTGAGTCCCATGCAGAGCCCGCAGCCGCTCGCCCAGGCTCCTAGTAGCGAGGGATGTGGGGCCCTGAGTAGGCGACTCTGTGCGCCTCCAAGGCCCCTTTGACTGCCTGGGGATCTCTGTTATCCAGGGCCGCATTTCCTGGATATACAGCCGCAGGCGCTGCACCTGAAGGTACCGATAAGTGTTATGGTAATGTGACCCATGCGGATCAATAGGTTGGATGTTCATTCAGTTCAGAACCCAGGGGAAGGTCGGTTTACCTCCTCTGTTAGCCTTTTGAGAGCCAATTTGCCGGCCTCCTGGTCTGGGAAGCCCTGGAGTTCTTGTGGCACAACCTGGGCACAGTGTGGGGAGAAATCTTGAGGCTCAGGGTCGCTGGAATACCCACGCATGTCCAAGGGCAATGTCCTTACCTTGAGGTCCCGTGGTTCGGTGGATTTTGAGAGATGTGCTCCTAGAGTCACCTCCTGGGTCAGACGGCCGATGCAGAATCGCCGAGTGTGGGTGGCCAACAGGGCCCAGGAACGGAAAACCATGTCACAGGACCCACAGGGTAGGAGCCCTGGCTCCCCGGAGTAGGAAGCCATGGATGGGACCCCTTTCCTGATACCAGCTAACACCTGCAGGAGATAGGACAAAGCAGGGAAAGGAGAGGATGAAACAAAGCCAGAGCAGCAAGGGCGGATTTATTTGGTCTACAAAGTCAAGTTTGTTTAGGGAGGAGTCTTAGCTCCCTGGGCAGCAACTACAGGTCTGGGCACGTCTGGGTGGGGCAGGCTTGGTCACCTTTGGGAGGAGACTGGGACTTGTAGAAATGTCACAAACTTGGCTTCACCTCATTGCATGGACTTGGACAACTGTCTAACATTGCACCTTTGTTTCTCTGCCTATATTAATAAAGAACAGCTGCCTCTTAGAATAGCTGGGTCCGTTCACATACTTTATCACTGGTCACTGAATATCCTCTGGCAGTTGTCATCTTGTCCATTCTTTTTTTTGCTCAAGTAGAAGACACCCTAGTGTCATTTCCATTCCAGGAACACCTGGTAGAGGATGCAGTCTGCCATTTTGGGCATTCTGCCGGGAAACCACGTCTTTTCCTAGACTGAAAAGCTTTTCCACACCATATCTCTTTGTAAGTACTCACAGCTTTTGCACAACCAGGCCACACCAAGAGTAGAGGTCTTTCCCTCTCATTCCCTGATTCCTGTTTTTTTCAGCTGTAGAAGGACCATAATTAACACTCTCCCAGGAATGAAGTTCTGGGGGAACATAAGGGATCTAGCAGATGAGGGAATCAAACACAGAGAGGTACTGCTTCATTGGACACCGGCCAGAGGCCAGGCAGGCCTTTTCCTGCTGATCAAACCCCCCCCCCCACCCGCCAAAACATTCATCCATCTGAGGCAGGAACTCTAGCCCCTTATTTCTAAACCAGCCCCCTTTCTCAACACAGTAGCCCCTCTCCCCCATCCTTATGAATAACCAGCAGCAGGTTACATAATATCTCAACGTATTTGATGTCAGTCTAGCTTTATTTCAAGTGAGAAAAAGGGTACATTTTTAGGAATTTGTTCTGAGAAAGTTATTTGGGGCCAAAGCCCAAGGCCAAACAGGCAGGATTCTCCCTCAACCTAATTCTCATTTCCAGTTTAATCCTTTTGCAATTTTTAGTTCATTTCATATTCATTGATTCTAAGAAGCACTTATTTTTTTTGCATTTTAACACTGAAATCAGGGTTCACAATTAATGGAGCATCGTAATTTAACTGGTAAATTTTCTTATTAGTATGTGTCTTAAAATAGTCAATGGAGTACTGTATAGGTTTCACTGCGCTATCTCAACCATTTCCACTGTTTGCATCTGGACTGCTTATACCACTAGCAGGAGAGACTAATACAGTGTGAAGGATAGAGTATCTACCTTCTCAGCCTTTCCAGCAAATGTCATGCTCATCTCTCTGCCACTGCCCCCTCTGGAGCCCACACTACATAATTTTAAAAATTGAAGTACAGTTACCTACCTTTTTAACACGCAATCAGGCCTGTTACTCCTCTGCTTTCTCCCATTAGAGTATAATATTGGACCTCTCTATCCACTAGGAACTATGTATTGTAGGGACAGCCAAAGAGTGTGTGCCAGTGTCAGTAACTATCTGTTATTTAACTTCTACTCTACTCATCCATCAGATCTTAGTTTAAGGTTTCCTTTTTAATATAACTGTTTATTCTCTTTACTGAGCTGGGCACTCCATGCATCCCCAGAGGGTTGCACAATGCCTGGGACACACAAACCTAGAGCTTGGGAAGCATATTTGGATGCAGAAACCTGCCTCCTCTATTGGTCACCTAGGCAGCATTGGCTCAAATCCTTTCCCGTATGTTCTTATTTAGTAGGAAAATTGAGGCATAGACCTTCCTTAAAATATGCACTTTGGTAAACATGGGCAGTGAGATACAGTTTTAGAAAGGAAACTTGGGTTTCTGATTTTCTTACTGGTAATTTATTGCACAGGCTTTTCTGCATCAAAAATTTATTGGCCAAAAGGAGAAAAAGGTGTGTCTGAGTTCAGATTTCCTGAAAAAGAATCTACATTTCTTACAGGTATAAACAAAAAAAAAAAGCTAGGCAATCCAAACTGATGCAAAATATTTATTCCAAGTTAGTTATTTTATGCAGTAGTTTTCCCCCTTGACAGACTTGTGATAACCACCTTTTAAATCTGTAAATAATGTTATCAAAATAATCTTAATCTTTGAAATCTCACAAAAATTTATATTTTACAACCACCCTGAATATCAAGGCTGCAAGAATAACACATTTCCTATATCCAAATATTTTACAGCTGTACCCAAAAAAGAAAAAAAAAAAAAGAAAGAAAACCACATAGGCTTGGTTAAAGGGCTAATGTTACCCGAGCAGCCAAAAATAAAATAAAATATCCAAATTATTAGCATTAATTTAATACAATTATAACTTCAATAGTCACTTTGTCATTGACAATGATTGCTTGAGCACAGGGGTGAGTGCCCCCAAAGGGCTGGTAGTAGAAGCTGCGCCGCAGACCAGCGTCTCCTCTCTGCACTGCTGGCTTCCACCTGTGCATCGCCCCATAGACTGTGTGCGTGCACGTGTACTTTAAGAGTCTTTCCCACCACACAAACTTCTATTAAGCAGATCAACAGGGAACAAACAACAAAAGCAGAACAAGCCAATTGCTCTCTCTGGGATATGATTATTTCCCTTGTGCATGAAAGTTTACAACAACGTAAGAAAAGGAAAAGAATGATTTCTTGTATATTCCCTAAACACACAAGCTGAATTTACTGGGTCAGATTTGTGAGCATTTATATGCCTACTTCCAGGCATCATCATCTGATGTTTCACTGCTACTGGTTTCTGTGTCTGAGTCCTCAAACTCTGCTTTACAAGTGCTTCTCCAAGGGGAGAAAAGGCTGGAACAGCGGCTCTGCAAGAAGCCATTCTTCCCAAAGCCGTTTCTTCTCAGCTGCAGTTAGTATTGGAAAGAAAACAAACAGAAAACCATCATTAATTATGCTGGCCCACAGGACCTGGGGAAGGCCAGGCCTCAATTCAATTCCAGACAGAATGTAGAGAGGGGCCCTCCTAAGAGAGCCAAGATTTCTTATAGCAGTGCTTTCCAAATTCTCCTGTGCAAATGAATCATTGAAGGATATTTTTCAAATGGAGTTCTGATTCAGTCCCTAGTTCTCTTAAGTTCGCAGATTATGACAGTGATCCAGGGATGAGTTCTGAGTAGCAAAGTCTTTATTTACTCAGCCTGTACTTTCTAGGACTTAACAAATGTTATTTATACTTTAAATGTATACCACCCGAACATAAGCTCCACGAGATCGGCAGAGACCCCATTTGTCTTGTTCACTACGATAAACCCTAGGATCTGGCAGTGTTTTACTCAGAGAAAGATTAAGCTTTTGCTGGATAAAATAGGATATTTGGTTTTCTGGCTCTGCCCAGAGTATCAGAGGGAAACCACAGGGCTGGAAGCAGTGAGGGTGAGCCTGCTTCTCGCAGACCAGCGTCTCCTCTCTGCACTGCTGGCTTCCACCTGTGCATCGCCCCATAGACTGTGTGCGTGCACGTGTACTTTAAGAGTCTTTCCCACCACACAAACTTCTATTAAGCAGATCAACAGGGAACAAACAACAAAAGCAGAACAAGCCAATTGCTCTCTCTGGGATATGATTATTTCCCTTGTGCATGAAAGTTTACAACAACGTAAGAAAAGGAAAAGAATGATTTCTTGTATATTCCCTAAACACACAAGCTGAATTTACTGGGTCAGATTTGTGAGCATTTATATGCCTACTTCCAGGCATCATCATCTGATGTTTCACTGCTACTGGTTTCTGTGTCTGAGTCCTCAAACTCTGCTTTACAAGTGCTTCTCCAAGGGGAGAAAAGGCTGGAACAGCGGCTCTGCAAGAAGCCATTCTTCCCAAAGCCGTTTCTTCTCAGCTGCAGTTAGTATTGGAAAGAAAACAAACAGAAAACCATCATTAATTATGCTGGCCCACAGGACCTGGGGAAGGCCAGGCCTCAATTCAATTCCAGACAGAATGTAGAGAGGGGCCCTCCTAAGAGAGCCAAGATTTCTTATAGCAGTGCTTTCCAAATTCTCCTGTGCAAATGAATCATTGAAGGATATTTTTCAAATGGAGTTCTGATTCAGTCCCTAGTTCTCTTAAGTTCGCAGATTATGACAGTGATCCAGGGATGAGTTCTGAGTAGCAAAGTCTTTATTTACTCAGCCTGTACTTTCTAGGACTTAACAAATGTTATTTATACTTTAAATGTATACCACCCGAACATAAGCTCCACGAGATCGGCAGAGACCCCATTTGTCTTGTTCACTACGATAAACCCTAGGATCTGGCAGTGTTTTACTCAGAGAAAGATTAAGCTTTTGCTGGATAAAATAGGATATTTGGTTTTCTGGCTCTGCCCAGAGTATCAGAGGGAAACCACAGGGCTGGAAGCAGTGAGGGTGAGCCTGCTTCCCTAGAGACCAAGGGCTCAGGCCCTAACTTTGGAACAGAAGCCTTGTGCTTTTGACAAGGGATGGAAAAACATACCACTTTCAGAGATCTGGTAACAGCTGATGTGGTTTTTGTAGCCACTGCTGGAGATGCCTATTGCCTAGGCAGCGGGGAGATGCTCCTGTTTCTACTAGGGCAACTCACATTATTTTCTTTGTTAAGGTCCTTCTCTCACACTAAATGGGCAGGAGGGGGTCCCTACAGCAGTACTGTTCTGACTCCTTTCTCTTCTGATTGTTAACTGGTCTCCAGGAAAGGGTGATGACATACCTGCTCTGTCTTCATGTGGAACTCTCTAAGCTCATCCTCTGTGAGAGGGAGGCAGTTTTCATCATTTTCGGGATACTCCTGCCATCCCATTGCTCTCAGTAACCTGGTGGAGGAAGGTTGAGAACAGGAAGCTGAACACCTTTAAGTATAAAGGGGAAGACCACAACTTCCCAGTGACAACGTTCCTGCCCAGGGGCAATGGTATCCGCTTACTTATTAGGGAGGAAACTTGGGTTTTTCTTTCTTCTCCACTATGGTATAAGCTTGAGTTATGGCTACTTAGGTGCTTATAACTAACTGGGGGGAAGGAGAGTGATCTCTCTAGTTGCTCTTTCCAGTGCATAAGGGCTATAGAGAAAACATAGTAGAAGCAGCAGAATATAAAGATGGCACAAAGGAAAGAGCCCAGTTGCAAGAGTCCTCCCTGTCCCACAGACAGAAAAGAGAAAGAAATCTCACTTTTATCTCCACATGTATCTATACGTTTTCATTCAATTTCACGGCACTACAGGCTCCTTTAAAAACCTCATGATCTTGCTGCCCTCTGAAGGTCCTCTGCCTCCTACGTGCCCCGACAACTGGCTGCTCTGTGTTCAAGGCCCTCACATTTAAAGAACAAGCTCTACACTTTGGGGTCTGTAAAGGAATACCCACTGGGTAACTGGCCGACCTGGGGTACACACAGAGTGTGTTATGGTCTCCCCATACGGTGGGCCTGATCTGATCCTCACCTGTGCTCTGCTTCCAGAGAGTGTGACAGCACCTCCCCTTCCTCCTCCACAGGGAGAGCAAGTCCATTCTGATGACAGCCTTCCCCTCCATTTTCCTTTGGTTCAGGTGTGCTGTTGTCCTCCAGCTGCAACACAGGACGACACACTTGGTTTATGGGCCAAGTGGCAAGACAAGCGAGCTACAAGATGAAGGAGTTAGCGCCCAGGAGGGTGCTTGCCAGAAGAGAAGCTCAGCCTAAAGGTTTT